TTCTTTGGCTGACAAGTTGAAATATGCGTCGGACACTTTTGCCAGCGAGAGGGGCATAAAAATACCAGAACCTGGGGTTTGTTATTTTTTTCACATCTGATTGTTGGTGTTGTTTTTGAGCAGGCTTTTTGGTTTTTATAGTTGTTTTTTTTTTTTTGGCAGGGCATTAAAACATTTTGAGGTTTCGCTTTGTTTGAAGGGGCTCTGACGGGTGTGGCGGCGGAGAGGAATGGGTGGATTGGAGTATTCGACAAAATCAAGCGAATCTTTTGACAAGAGTTAAGGGCCCTCTTTACGAGTATTGTAGGGGTAGCAACAGCAAAAGCAGCAGCGGCGAATGTGGCTGCGTTGTAAACTCAATATTTCTAGACCTAGGTCCGGTAGCCTCTCCACACAAAAAGTCCAAAGAGAGCGATCAATTTTGTATTTGTACAAGGTGAGGTAAGGTATTGCTATGACCAACAAGCACATATAAAACTCGCTTGGGAGAGTGAAATCGGTGCTGCCTCACCTCACCATGTGCGCACCCTGCAGCAATCAATCGAGAGAGGCAGGAGAAAAGAGAGAAGAAATTAAACTAGCCGATGAGCTGTCGACATTTGTCGCACCGCTCTAATGTGGGTTAGAAATCGTAACGCTGCCGTCGTCGCCACTCTCTGGTTAGGGGGGTATTCTTCGATGAGTCATCCCATAGAGACGTGAACGGTGTTTTGGCCGCTTATCTGGGAATACGAAACGGAACGCTGGAACTGGAAACTCTCTAGACGTCAGAGTTCTTAAGGAAGACCATCGCACCGATAAGGATATGTTGGGCCATAACACGTCATAGCCATGGAAGTGACATTGCATGATCAGTGACTAGCGTTGAGGTACACGCGGGATGGGTTCAATGTACAGTGGGGGCCACACCTGTTGCCGAAACTACAATAAAAACCAACCTGCGGCGCAATAAAGTAACAGAAGCTGCCGCCGCCTGAGCATCACAAGCAACAACAAAAGAAGGCAGAAATCACGCTACGATCATAAACGCAAAACGTGCTAAATAAAGCAACAACAACCCAAAAGGAATACAAAGTGGGTTGACGGGGTCGAAGTTGTAATACCCTTGGAGATCCATTCAATGGAAAAATTAAATCAATTATTTATTTTCTTTAGTTATATACAGTTTGAGCAAATAGGAAATAATTCTGTGGAACATTCAAGCCTTTCTTAATGTGGTAGTAGCTGTTTTCTGCCGTGCATTTCCAAGCTCTATTAAAAATTAAATTACCTTCTGCAAGGGAATAAACAAAGAGAGAACGCGGTGGGAAGAGACGCTAGGAAGTGCACTCAATGGGTTGGGAAGGGGGGGGGGGGGGGATGGGGAATCTGCTGGAATGCCAGCAATTTCCTCAGCTGGTGAAGACCATGCAGATATACGGACACGGATAGAGGAGGTGAGGAAGAAGCGAAATGAGGCCAAGGCAAGCAACGGAAAGCAGCAACAACAAAATCGCCAGACAGTCGTGCGATTAAAAACGCCCACGGCAACTGCGAGGCGGCTTCTGTTCTTTGGCCTGCTCTCTCTTGGGACTGCGTGTTTTGTTTTGGTTCTTGATTTTCTTAATGGAAGGAGGATGCACTCAAGGTCTATTTTTATAAGGTGAGCCTTTTCAGATCAGACAAGTTGCCTGTTATGCTTGCTAATTAGTAACCAAGTGTATTCAAATTACGGTAAAACGGTCTACAAGTATGTGACTCCCTATTAATGTACTTATATGACAAAAGAGGAAGGAGGAAATAACAGCTGAATTTCCCATCGCACAAACACTCAAACTTTTCACAATTAAAACCAACACATTATACATACGTACATATAAGTACAGTACATACGTTCATGGAGTTCACTGTACCCGTTACCTTAAAAGCGCCGCGTATTATTAACTCAAATATACAAAAAATATATGTACACATACATACAAATGTAAAATATACATACAAATTTATCTGTAACAAGAGCACCAACAAAAGCACTCGTACATCAAAAATGACTTAAAATCTCGCCACACGTCAATGGAATAAATGCAATCTCTGTAATTGTGTGTGTGTTTGTGCGACTGTATCTGTGTATATTTGTGGAGACCGCTCCCTCTCCAAAAATGGCAAAAACAATTTGTATCCTCGTTTGGCTCCTTCGCGCTCGTTTCTCCCCTGGCTTGTGCCCGCCTCATTTACAATGAGAAATGTTGCATCCGCCTTTGTGGTTTTGCTTATGGTTTTGTTTTTGGGGATTATAAAAATGTCATTATCATGTCAACGGGTCGCAAAAGTTCAGGAATGCTGTTGCTAAAAATGTTTATGGAATTGGATTAAAATGACAATTGTGGGGAGGGGTTATATTTTTATTAATATTAATCAAAAAAGAACACCCATTCTACTGTTGCCCAGCAGCAATATCCTCGAAGTCTATACAAGAATGGTAGATTCGCTCTCGCGATCCCTATCTCTATCATGATACTTAACAACGCCAGCAGAAAAGCTTAACCAGCAGCAGCAACAAAATATATACATATGTATGTCTGTATGCTTGTACATTTTTACATATGTATGCATATATGTATATCTACACAGGCACAAGGTAAATTTATAAAGGGTGAGACATTCCCCTTCAAAATGTTTCTATTTTGCATGGGTGGTTTTCGCCGCCTCGACCAAGAGATCGCTAGATTTGTGCGAGTGTCAGTCCAAACGATGAGGAAGAACCCTATATCAATACCCCTTTGGCGGCCAGAAAAGTCAATGATCTGCAGAGCGTCGCAGTCGCTATTCGGGTTTGTTGTTGCTGTTGTCATAATTAAACGCGACAAATGAAATTTGAAGGAAAAAAAGAACCGCCGACGCCGATGACGCCGCCGTCGTCGCTCTCGCCCTCGCCGTCGCCGTCGCCAGCGCAGCACCAGGCAATAATACAACAAAGAGACAAACAATAAATTCTTCAACAAACATTCGCACAGGTAAAAAGCGTCGCGAGAGCCAGAGCAGCGCAACGCAACGCGTGAGAGAGACAGACACCGAGCAGACAGACAGAGTCAGGAGAGAAGAAGAGCAAGTGAAACAGAGCGAGGCAGAGAGCGTGACTGCTGTTTCTCTGCGTCCATATGTGTGTGTGTGTGCCAGGATCATTTGCATTTTCGTTTCAGCGTCGCAAGGTGTCGCACAACAAAAAAAGCTGATTAAAATGCATTTTGCAAAAACAAAAAAAACAACAGGCAGAACAAAAAAGTGGGCACGTCGCGCATTGCTGTTGTTGCTGCTGCATAGATTAAAAATCAGCAAAAAAAATACTGCAAAGGGAGAGGGAGAGCGCGGGAGAGGAGAATCTCTCGTATTCACAATTTGTATACCCTTGAAAAGCGTATTAAGATTAGGTTTAGTTGGGAACGATCAGTCGAATAAAGAAAACCGTTTTTTAATTTAACCAACAATTTGTTATTGCAGTATGTTTTTATGGAACTCTTGCAAATTTGATTCAAATCGGTTGGAAAGAACGATCGATCTTACATACATTTGTATATATTTTTTTGATTCAAGGGTATCAACATCTTCGGCTCCAAGTAGCTAGCCTTCCTTTCTTGCCGTTGTTGTTTTCTGCCTGTTCTACATATTGTTTTTGTAGTTGGAGCTGCCTGTCGCTGCTGCCGCGTGCCTCTTGGCATTAGTCATAGCAGCAGCGGCAGCCAGAGCAAGCCCCGCCAGAAGACGGGACACTGTAAACGCGCACGTTGCCGAGTGATCTATGCCAGCGGACAGAGCGGTTCACCTATATGCACAGCCATTAACCAATTGGCGCCAAATAGTAACGACAAACGCGAAAGGTGTTTTCTGGCTGGATATTGACGGGGGGCGACCACCCCAGACACGCGATTAGTCACAAGAGCGAGGCGGCAGCAGCCGAACGAGCAGTCGCAGAAAGAGAAACCGAATCGCGCCTCGTAATTGTTTTTTTTTGACAATTTTTGGCTTTTTGCAAGCCTTTTCGAGAGGCAGCTTTGAGCCCCAGAACCTGGTGGGCAAGAGAGAGAGAGAGAGAGAGCGAGAGAGACCCCACACCACCCCCACAGAAACCCCCAACGAAGCAACGAAACGATCGCGCTAAACACTTCGGCTGTCTGCCCGAGCGCGTGTACGTGTGAGAGTGGAGTGTTAAGTGTGTGCGTGCCTGCCTTTGAGCGCAGGTTTATCAAAATTCGATTTTCATTTTCTGTTTTAATACAATTTTTGCCGTACTGCCGTGTGGAAGTGTGTGGGCCAAGGAGCAGCCAGAAATCAGCTAAAGAAACGCGAGCCACAACTGTAAAAAGAGTTCATGAGAATAAATAAAAAAAGTAATAATAATAATAACAAAAACGTGCAATACAAGTGAAAAAATAAAAAAAAAACAAAAGCATATTTATAATAAAATAATAAACAAGCTGTGTCTCTGTTTCGATTTCGCTTTCGACTTTGCGCCTTTGGTTAAAGCGAAAAATCACGTAATTTAATCCGCGAGTGCAGGAGAGGTGCAGGAGAGTTGTCTCCGCCCGCAACCTACTCCCCTCCTGCTAAAGTGTACGGTGTGTGTTTGCGCGTCGTTTACCGTTAACCAACCACTTGAACTGCACGTGCAGATCGACCCCGTCCAAGGCAGTGGCAGTGGGCAGTGGGCGTGTGTAATAAATCCCCTTGTTCACCCCTCAACAAAAGAAGAAAGAGAGACGGCACACTTATCAGTGCGAAGAAAAAGGAGGAGAAGAGCATTTAGTCATCTTCGAACATGAGAAAGTGCACGAATGTATAGAGGAGAAAAAAAAACAATAAAAACAGACTGTTAAATACAATTTTTAAATTATTCTTAAAGATTTGTAAAATATTCTTCAAATTATATTTCCTATTATTTGTCCATTCTAGAAACGTCTTAAAAAGTGAAAAAGTGGCAAAAACAGAAATATATGATATATGTATATAAATAATACAATTAAACCCAAAAACAAGTTGCCAAAAATTAAATATAAATACAAATTAACTAAGAAACAACCTGTGGATCGTGTAAATACAATTAAAAACACATTCAAAAGCTCCAAAATAACAACTTGAGCTGAAGAAATGCAAGAAAGAAAAATTGAACAAAGATAAATCAAGCCAAATATAAATACAACATTTCAGTCCAAAATAAATCACAAAAAAAAGCAAACAAACAAAAAGCAGACAAAAGAAGGAAAGGAGCGGAAAGGAAGGAAGGGAGGAGGCTGAAATTGCAACAGAAATTTTTGTGATAAACGCTGACAATTTGTTGCACGTTGAATGATTGCCATAAAGGCCATCGAAATGCAGCACAACAACAGCACTAGCAGCAGCAGTGGCAGCGGCGGCGGTGGCAGTGGCAATGGTAGCCATCTGCAGCAGCAGCAGCAGCAGCAGCAGCAGCAACAGCAAATGCTGCACCAACAGCAGCAGCAACAGTTTCAGCATGATTACGTTTGGGCCAACATCGGAAATATCAGTGGCAACAACAGCACCATCAGCAATGCACTGCAGCTGCAGCAAGAGCGAGGCGCCTCCTGGATAACGGAATGCAACAAGCAACGCCACATTACCAACAATAATAACAACATGAATGTCAATTACAATCAGCATTTGACGCAACAGCAACAACAGCAGCAACAGCAGCAGTACATGCAACCATCGTACAACAACTACACGCAACCGAACAACTGCTACTATCCCTGCCAGCAACAACAACATCAGCAGCAGCAGCAGCAGCAGCAGCAGCAATTCCTTGCCCCCACCACCACCCCATCAGCTGGGACTGCAACAGCAATTCAAGCCACACGGCAAGTGATTCAAAGACATGTAAGTACAAACAAAAATACTTATACGTGTGCCCTTAGACCATCGCTGATACATAAATTGAACAAGAAACCCCTTGGTTGGTTTTTTTTTCATTTACATTGGTAAAGCAGCCACTGAAAATCGATTATGGTTATACAAATTATCAAGGTTTTGAGTAGATGAAACAGTAACTATTTGACAATAGTCCAAGGAAAATCATATACTTGAGAGAATATAGAATCTGCAGAGGTCTCACAATTGCTTAATGGCATTTCAATTTAATTGAATTGAATTTGCAAAAGGGGAATAATGTCCTTTATGATCTACTAACTAGCAACAGTCCAGATTCCTTCAAGGAAATGCGCTTCCCAGGGAAAGATAAGTCGTTTAAGGAAAACAAATGAAACAATGGACAACCGCAAAATGTGTCACCCTGCAAAGGAAGGTATTCCATTGCATACGCATTAGCATTTATTATACTATACTATATGTACGTACATACATATATGTATCTCCATCCCTCTTTCACCTCTCGCCACATCTCTCTCTCTCTCTCTGTCTGCTTGCTATCTTTCGAGTTGAGAGCTCTTTGTGATTTGTTGTCGCCTTTCATTTTGCGGTTTTGTGGGCGGCGCTTGGCCATTCAAAGTGGAGTGTTCCCCGTCCCCACTCCCCCCGTTGTTGCATCTTTATAATTGCGTTTTACTCGCAGTCAAGACTTTGAGAGAGCAGGGAGTCTCAGGGGGAAAACTTAGGAAAATGGCGGCGTCTTGTGGGGCGTATGCTTGATGTGATCCGACACACATCACGTATACGAAACGTTGTTGTGTTCCAAGGCACTTCCCTCTTTTCTTCCCCCAAAAAAATGCATTAAATATATGCTTAATTTTGGTGCTGCTTTATCTGTAAGTAAATATTTACTGCCCCTCGTGTTCGGCTTTCTGTGGCGTGGGAAAGCCACTCCCCAAAAACAAAAAACACAAAAAAGAACACGAAAATGTACATAAATAAAACAAATAATAAAAAATACATTTCAAGTAATTTAATTTGTTTAAACTGAGGGGAGATCCAGTTGCTCTCGTTCAAATCGAATATATGTTTGCATCCAGAGTATCCAGAGTTTATATGAGTTTACATTTAAATAAATTTAAATAAATGAATCCCGTAGACAGTCTCCGATTACAGATTAAACAGATTCCGTGTTACAAGTGTTGGCTTTCCAGTCAGTATATAACCAGATATAAACGATCCTCGCAGCAATACGATCTCTGATAAGCAGTCCAGAGCGCGCTGTATCGTCATCACGGCGTATAAATAAACCGAGTGATTCAAGCCCTTGGTGGAGCGACCAAATGTCTACTTGGTCAAGGCATTATCGTCAACGCCAACAGCCAAGAGCCAGCCAGAGTGCCCCGTATGACAGCTAGCACACGACACTCCGGACTCTTCCAGATTAGATGTCGCTTGAGGCCCGAAGTCACGAAGTGTAGTGCCAAACCGGCCAGGAAGTGGTGCCACAGCGCACAGTCGAAAGCGCAAATAAAAGCGTGAAATCCGTAAAACGGAAATGCCAAGAGCATTGCTTGGTGTTCTGTGGCAGGGGAACCTGATTGACGTTGTGGGAGGTGCTGCGGGTCTTATCTTCAGCCGTAACACCGTAGATACTTGTGTTAATAATGACTGGGCCAAATACTTTGCTGTTGGTTAGGACCACCTCTTAGTAGTTTTCGACTGATACGAGTCTAGGGCTTTATCCAAGGGCAAGAGTCCCAGTCAAAAAAATAAAAAACCTTTTTAATTATGATGATTTGGAATGACAATCCAATTTTTAACAAGAGAGATCACTGAAAGAGACTTGTATCTTTATATATACATAATTTATTTTAGAATATTTTGTGACTTTTTTTAAAATATTTATGTACTCTGGCTACACTTTTCCTGCCATTCAAGGAGTTTACCAATCAAAAACTTTGCGACAAATTGTCAATGCTCCGTTTTACGTATCTAATGCAAACATCCACAAAGATCTGAATATTCCAACCATTAAAGAAGAAATAAAGAAAACTAGTAAGAAATACATCGACAGACTCCACAACCACGAAAATAATTTAGCCTTAAGTCTATTAGACAATAGCCTAACAGTAAGAAGACTGAAAAGATACCACATTCTCGATATCCCTGATAGATAAATTTAACAAACTAAAAAGATGTTATATATAATAGCAGGGCTCATTGGAAAATTTACTTATTGTTTAAAAACAGATTGTAAATATAAAGAGAGAGAAAAAAAACAAAAAAAAAAAAAAAAAAATTCAAGGAGTTTGTCTAGATTTATTGTGTCTGTAATTCATTCTATGAGTATTTTCATTTCAGTTTTCATTCCCTTGGTACACAGCTACAAAATATTGAAGGGTGTATGATGGATGACTTCATAAAGACAGAAGAGAAGAAATCGTTGCTCTGCTGTTACTCTAAACATTATGTATTAATATATGAAGATCTCCCTGTAGCAGAATCATATGGCAGATAATTTCTCCTCATTCTCGAGTCAGGAGACCTGCAAATATTACTAGGGTATTGGTTTTTTTTTGAGCTATAGAGATTATTGTTAAATCGTATTGTTAAAATGTAATATTTTTGTTTGTTGAGTGAAGTGCAAAGCGCATCTGTTTTTTGGTCCTTGAACCTTGCCGCTTTCGGTTGCTGTTTCTGGGGGCCACCTCTCTCTGTGCCTCTCACTCGGAGCCCTTGTTTTTGTTTTTATTAATTATTACAAAAACAATTAAGATCTTCAAATTAACAACTTTAATTTGCAGTCGTTGTTTTTTTCGTGTTTTGTTTTGTTTTGTTTTTTTCTGTCATTATATCGTATGCTTAATTTTTTAATGATCGTCGCTCTGTTTTCTTGGTGCAAAACGGTTCTACAACACAACTCATTAACTCATTTTGTTAATCATTTACTGGCGTTGCAAAGTGCTGCAACGCGCCACGCCTCCTCGCACTTGTGCGCCCCCATTAGCATTTAAGTTTTTATAATCAGCTGTTTTTCGAAGGTCTCTCCCTCTCTCCCGTTCGAAATTAGATTGGGATTTCGATTGTTTTATGGTTTAATGTTTGTTGTTGTTCTTTCCAGCACGCTGCCGAAAGTGTGTCCATGAAATACATTTGGCTAGACACAGAGGCAGAAAACAGTAGGAAAAACAGCAGAAAATGCATTTGAATTTAATTTAAAATGGTTTGGTTTATGACTAATGGGGAGGGAGAGAGTATCTTTATAAAGCGCACAATCAAAAGAAGATCGCTTGCGATTCGGTGTTCTATCTCCATACATTTTAGAGAATATCCCCATCTATTTTTTGCCTTTATAGTTAAAGATTAGAGGATTCCTGACGTTCGGTCAAGATTCCTCTCTTAAAATGCTTATTTTTGATGGCACTTCATGGTGCACCGATCCTCATTGAATATTCTGTTCTTTAAGCTGTTCAATCTATTCTTTAGGTAGATTATTTCCAACCCATTTTGCGGGAATCTTACTTCCACTTCCGTTAAATGTTAGGCGTACCTCCACCGACTATTCATTCTGTTCTAAGAAATCAAATTGCAATTCCACGAAGTCTATGACTTGATTTAAACGGATCGATGACGTCTTTTCATGACGTGACCATAAGTTTAATCAATGTAAAAATTATTCAACAGATCGTATCGCCAATGAATGAATACCCGCAAAAGCGTTGTTTGACTTTAATAAATTATATGTCAGTTACAAACGTAATCTTCTCTTTAAATATGAACAGTTTGCCATCATTGTAGTTTTTAATTGTAGTAAAAGTTGTACTTATAAGACGATGAATAATGGTTTGGAAAATGTGGTTTTGATTAGCAAGAAAGAGATACTCCGGAAATGGTAGATCTGTGTGTGTTTTTAAAGGTGCAATCACGTCAAAATATATTTAAAACTAAAGAAATCATTAGGAAGTATGGATTTTTGTTGTACCTTAAGTGAAATCCTGTTTCCGTTTCCGTTTCGCATAAAGACTTGAAGAGTGAACCCCTTAAACCATCGTAAAATATTAACCCACTCACGTAGAATGGTAACCTAATCAGTGCACAATGTTGCCCTAGAAGCCAGTCGCAGTCGCAGTCGCAGTCGCCTGGCAAATGGCTTAAAAACAACAAAGGGGCGGAGAGGAGGCCATCAACCCTCAACCTTGATGTTCAGTGTCGACACTTCTGGCCAGTGCGTCCGTCCGTCTAGGGGCAAGAGAAGGGGCAAGGGGCCATTCAAGGCGCGTCGCCAGTCAAGTCGGAAGGCACTCAGACACACGGCTCTTATCGCTCCTCCCGCGGAGTGAGTGAGAGAACGAGACGAACGAGACAAAAGGAGTGGAGAGAAGAGAATGAGAGGATCGTCTCGTACCTAATGGCAGCGACATATTTTCGGCTACCTAAATACCTCCCGGGGCTAATGGAAAAGGATCGCGGATCTCAGGCTCGAGCCGTGGACGACTGCCTAATAGATGCATTTAGCACGCGCCCAAATGCATCTCAGAGATACATTAACTGCCGCAGAGCAAGACAGCAACAAATGGTTGCTGCCTCTGAACCTGTCTGAGGCCTACGTCTCCCTCTCCATCTCTCAATCTCTCTCCCTACACCGATGTGTTCGTGCATCTGTGTATCGGTGTGTAAAAACCCCGTGATGAGTCATCCGCATCGCGATGCGTGGCATACATAAATCCAACATGTGCCCCCAAAGCCCCCGCCCGAGCGCAACACAGACTGAGTGGGAGAACACTTCAAGGCGAGAAAGAGATGGATAGATAGAGTGCGAGAGAGAGGCAAAAGAGCGGCACTAAAATCAAAACAAAATATAGAAAATGTCAACAAACGAGCTGCGCGCCAAATTCCAACATTTGAGTGTAAACCGCTTTTGAGTGGAATTCAAATGTGAGTGCGAAATAAAAGAGAGGGCGAGTAAGAAAATCAAAAGAGAAAAACAATAAGAGCGAATGACATATTCTCTT